TACTTTTTAAAAAGTCGTTACACACACACACACACACACACACACACACACACACACACACACACACACACACACACACACACACACACACACACTTGTTTTGTCCCACTTCGATCCCATATACTACCTACAACCCTTCTTCTCCTGTGCAGCTCATGCGTTTTGTGTTCAAGGAGAAGACGACAGATTAACTTGTGACAGCAGTCGCGTGTGAACGCATAAAATAGGGGTTGACATAATTTTCATTATCCCACATAAAACGTAAGGTTTGTGCGTGAAAGTAACAGAAAACCATGTCTGAAGGAGTGGGGGGAGGGAGGAAACCGGAGAGCGGGGTGTCTAATCAATATGCTGAACACTGCGTCTTTCTGAAACTCACATCGTTTGTGTGCAATTTGTTTGTGTGCTTTGCTTTGTCTCTTTTCAGTGTACAATTATCTCCAAACACAAAGTAAATAAATAAATAAATAAACTTCTGTGTTATTTCTATACTGAGGTTGTATTATACAGATTCGTGTTTGATGCAGCGTGATTTAAATACTTCTGTGAGGCCGAAGAGGAAACCAATGTCATATTCTTCTGCCCCAGAATCACCAAAAGCTTTTGCAGACTTAAGTGCAGTGCAGAGTTGTTTTCATTGGTGCTCATAAGTAGACACCAAGATGTGACAGCAGACAACGCAAGCAAAAGCGTACACGAACAGTTACTCACCAATGCAGACTGCAAACATCTCAGGGGGTATGAGTAAATGCTATTTCAGATTTTCAAGAGATGGGTAAAAGGTGCTTCTGTGAGTTTACACTCCGCTTCACCTCTGCCTGCAGCATGTAACCTGTCAAAGTTATTTTCTATGCAAATGTTAAGTGTTCCAGCTAATTTCTCTACAAATATACACAGAAGCCCACATCAATCTCTTTCAGGTGATTGATTTGATCTGTCCGCCCCTCCCACCCATCACTCACTCTGCCGCTGCCAGTATCTGCAGGTTGAAGCATAAAGCCATTTCTGTCTCTGGAGTTCATTCAACCCTGAAATCTCCACCCAGTTGTTACCTGGAAATCTCTCTATCTCCCTTAACCACACAAAAACACACACTTACATTCTCTCTAACACACGATTTCCCTCTTTTCCCTTATGTAGGCAGCGAATTCCAAAGACAAAGAAAACACTCCAGCGTGGTCTCGCAGATGTGTGTATTCATGTGGGTTTGAGTGTGTGGGTCGGTGCACACATATGGCTCTGACAAATGAGCCAGGCTCAGTTAAATGGCTTGTGATTAGGACACATTGGCGTCTAATTGCCTCTCATTACCATTTGAAAGTGAGTGGCGGCTGAAATCAAAGGCTGTGGTGGCAGTGGTGAAGTGCAATGCAGGGCAAGTGTAGTGCATGTTTGTGTGTGCGTGTGTGAGTGTGTGTGGTGGGTGGGTGGAACAGTAAACCCGATTCTCAGATGCATGACCGCACAATAGAGTACTATAGTTTCTTCTTTCTCAGCCTCAAAGCCTTCATGTTCAACAGAACAACTAAAACAAAGCCCCGACTTTAATCAAATAAAAATGTATTGTATCTGCTCCTCTTAGAAACTGAATCAGAACCTTTGCCACTCCAATCTGAAACTTCTAGAACCCTTACAACAGCTTCTCCCTGTACTTTTCCCAATAGTTTCTTTCACTTTAGGTAAACTCAGAGAAACTAAAAACGAGAGTGCACACCTCTGGAAAAGGCACAACAGTCCCCTAATGAAATCATATTTAGATCTGCACAAAATTTCACACACTCATCGAGACCATGATTCTTTTCATCAAGATCCATGAATTATTCCCTTGGAAATCTGTGAAAATGGCCCATCTTGCAGTTTATTAGATCTGTGCACATTTTTATTGGGTTTATCCTTTGCCCATGTCCCAGCTTGTGTCGATGTTAGACATGTCTGAAAGCTCCTCACATGGTAAAACTTGCCCTCAACCCACTGTTTAGGCACCATGTAAAAATCCTGTCTATCCTCCCACTCCATCCTCTGGATTAACATCTCTCATCTGGCCATTTACTCACCATCCATAAGACAGCCAGACGTTAGCTGTCAGCCTCCATCCTGAAATACCTGCAGCCGAGACGGCTGAGTTTAACTTTTGTTCCACCTCTAGCCTGAAATTCCTTCTTAAAATCCTGGAATGTACCATTTCCACTCTGCTTAACTCCCATCTGCGAGGCAATATCTGTCACAGCACCAAAAAACATCCCTCTTCAACTTGTCTCTCCCTTCTCCAACCTGCCACTGCTGCGATACAAGAACTGAAAATCAAATAATTTGGTGCAAAATATAATACCATGGCATAAATATCTCTATTGATCAGAGTTCCTTCTACAAGATAAAAGCTGTGGTGTATTTCTTTCCATGGAGCCTCACACAAATCCATTCATCCAAAAATTTCCACTTCTGTCTTCTTTTGCCTTAGTTAGTTTCATAGTTTCGCTCCCTGTCGCGGGTTATCAGAAAAATACTCAAGGTCAGTGACCTCTTCATCACCAACAGCTTCGTTATCAGTCATCGTCCTAAGACTGAAATAAACCTCCCACTCCACCGTATTACTCACATCTGAGGAAATAAAGACATCCTCCCAATGCACATTTATTCATCCATCTCTTCTTCACTTTTAAAAAACTACACAGATTCACCCCACTCTTTATTATTATTATTACTGAATCGTTATTGATTTATGCTGATGACACACTGTGTGTAATATTACAAGCACAAGCAGGTATAGCAAGTAATTAGTATTTTTCCCCCGTTGCTGCATCTGTCAATGTTTAGGGCAAACATACCATTGATTGTGAAAAATCACCTTATGGCTGTGGTCTAAATTAAATTATTTGACAGTTCTCATAGCTCATAGAAAATATACCCTATAGTATATCAATATTCTGAGGGAATATGAAATAACTATGTCAGAAGAGCTGAAAGAAGAAATTACCAAAACATTGAAGACAATTAATGAGTTTTAATGGATAATGGAAGCGATTGAATGAAACACTCTGATATATGCAATCGGTGTGAGAAGCCACATTTCTGTAAATTATTATACATTATATAAATATTTTCTTGCGAGACACTCAATTATAAAAATAAAAAAACTAGAGTTCAGTAGACTCAGCAGAGTACACAAGGCCCAACAATCCACTTAAATTCAATCAAGTAGCATCAAATTGCACTCACGTACACAGATCAGACCCCGAAATATACCTGATTTGTTTTTGTCCAGATCCTCTGATTATTCCCACAGAAAACTTTGAAAATGGTGAAAACACGCCGGTCTCACAATGATCAGGAACCACACCATTATTTAGTGTGTTCCTCCCACATCCTTCCAGCAAGTTTTGTGGTAATGTGTCAAGTAGTTTTTGTGTAATTCTGCTGCAAACAATCTAGATGGCACTCAGTGGAGTACAGCCCCGTAATGAAACCACATTTTAATTCACTAGATCCAGATTTTTATTTGGATCTGCATTGAATTACACGCATTTATAGATATCAGGCCTTAAAATATGCCTTTCATCAACATCCATGAATTATTCCCTGGGATGTTAGTGAAAATTCTGAAAAGTGTCTTATCTCACAATATTAAAGAAAGTGATAAAAACAAATTCCTTGACCCGCCCCCCTGATCTAGATCTGTACCAAAACTTAACAGGTCTTCTCTGACTCACATCCTTCCACCAAGTGTCTTGGCAGAAAGTCCAGTAGTTGTTTGTGTAATCTTGCAAAAGGAGAGGGGTGAAAACATGACCTACATTGGTGGAGATAATAAGTAAAGATGGTTGTTGAAACGTGTCTGCAACAGTTTCTTGTTCCCAATAGTAAGTTAAAGATGCATAGATCAATATATTTAAAATTTGTATTCCTGAATCAGGAATGCTGTCATGGCTGTGAGTGCATTTTTCCAATGACATGTTTGTATAGTCAATAGCCTGAGGGGACACATGTCAACAGACATGCTCCAAACATGAGAATACACAGTCAACAAGTACATGGAAGCTGCACCACTGTTTCTGTCCAAAGTGCAAAACAGACACCATCGTGAAGAGCAGAAAACTGGTTGCAGCTTTTCGTGAGAGCTGCAGCTTCTTGTATTTACACGTGTCCGTCGATCTCGTTTGGATTGCCGTGTTAAATTCACAACGTGAGCCTCCACCGGGGACTGGCAGCCGTCCCCGAGTGCAACTCTGAGGTGTAAACAGAGTAAAAATAGTCTGCTATCACAGGCTTCCCTACAGTCCCGTTATATAATGGTCCAAGCTCGGATGAATGACATCACGGGCAGTCCAGCAATCACAACCCCTATGTCCTTTACGACCAGCGGGCAATGTAAAAACACCGAGGGGGCAGCGTGTAACACAAACACGGATACACAACCAAGTGTCACAACGTGCACAACCGATGCCGGAGCTGGTTTCTCCCACACCGGACAGACTGAGCAGTCGCTCGTCTCAACACTTCCGCGATGGTGAACCGTGAATAAAAATGTACTGTTCGTCTTTGACAGTGCCTGTAAGTGCGAAAAGAGTTTGACGCTTTACTGCTTTGAGGTGTTCAGCGGTGTTTGTCGCTGTTTTACCGCCGAGGAACAGTGGAAGAAGAGCCGAGCTCGAGTGGCGCAGTTAGTGGGAAGCGCAGCGGCCACCCGACGCCGGCTCGCCCCGCGGACCGCGCTCCTCGCTCGGTCACAGCCCGGCCGGAGCTCCGGCTGCCTTCCCCGGCGCTTAAACACTACTTTGCGTTCGCGGTTGGACGTGACAGGGACCCGCACATGAGCCCCGCACAACCCGCTACCACTCGGTCACTTAAAAACGAGGTCAGGAGGCGAAGTAAACATTTTTCCCCCCAAAAGGTTTGAAGTAAACCAGAGCGCCACCCTGCCCCGGTTCTTCCAGCCATTTTCTGGAAGTGGTGTCGGTGGAGAAGCAATGACAGGCCGGAGGAAGGAGTTCACTGGGACTTACTGTTGGGTGTACGGGCTGCTGCGGAGTTTGTGTCCCTCCTTGTTGCCAGGGCTCCCCGGCTCTGCTCCGGCGCTGACGGTGGAAAGCGTCTCCCCCGCCTAATGATGTCTGCGGCGGGCAGCTAATAGCTCTCTGCCCGCCCCCACCTCCAGAGAGAGAGAGAGAGAGAGAGCGAGAGAGAGAGAGAGACAGGGAGAGAGAGACACACTATGAAAGGGAGGGAGAGAGAGACAGACAGACAGAGAGAGAGAGATAGGGAGAGACAGTATGAGAGAGAGAGAGACAGAGGGAGAGACACTATGAGAGAGAGAGGGAGAGACACTATGAGAGAGAGAGGGAGAGATACTATGAGAGAGAGAGAGAGCAGAAATGGAGCAGTTTGTAAGCTACTCATGCAAAAGTGTGTGAGACTCTGAGCAAACACACACAGAATTACAAGATAAGCAACCAGGGCGTGAGAATACACACCATGAATATCATGAGTTCACATATATACACAGCAAGTATCAGCAGCGTGTGTGTCTCAAATAATGGTTTTTATGTTGGACTGTGGTAAAAATGTCTTTTCTAAATATTAAAAAGTTGACTGAACGTTAAAGCTGCAAACCTCAGCACAACAAAGTCAAGTAATACGACTCATGAGAGCAGCTTTGAAGTACTTGTACTTTGTATTTTCAAACTAAAGAAGAGTGGATATTAATGTAGCTGTCATGAGAATACACTGTGTATCCCATCATAAGTTCACATATATCCATAGCTTCATTTGATTTGAATATTGCCTTTGAATGCAGAACATTATTTTTCTGTACTTGAGAATACATTCTAGTGTTACTACTGTAAAGTAAGTAGGTAAATTCGATTAATATATGATTATTTATATACCAAGACTGCATAAGATAGGAGGAATGAATTGTTAATGTGTGCACAATACAAATAACAAATTCCAGTAAATAAAAGTTAGTAAATATTATAAGAACATAATTTAACAAAGTTAATACAGTGAACATTCAAGATCTATTTGAGGTTGTATCTGATTTTTATTAAACACTGGTCGCTGTTGTTTACATCCTGAGCTCAGGCCGACATGATATCACATGTTTACATCTGATTACACATTAAGGTCCAGAAGGTTCATGCAGGCGTCTGAGGTGGAGAGTTTGGGATCGTGGAGAGACTCAGCTCTCAGCCGGAGGCAATGACTGACAGTCAGCTGATCATGACAAGGTGGAAAATCTCTGGCTCACCCACAAACACACACACACACATGCATGCACACATGTACACAAATACCCATAAAGATACATAACCAATCATGGAGTATTACTGGAATCCATGTTGATGAAAGAAATCTCTGTTCTCATGATTCAGTTTAATATAATTCACTTTAAGACGCTAAATTAAATCGACTTTACATATATAGCCATTTCAAAAAGTCTGCAAGGTTCAGCAGTTTCCTAGACATGATCTGTTAGTACACTTTGAACCATATATTTAAAAAAACATGTTCAAATCAAACACAAAATTGGCAAACATACACAAAACAGTTGAAATCAGCTGGTAAAGTCAGTTTTAAAGATGCCTGAAAGTATCAAGTTTACCCCTCCCCTCTGTTTTCAGCATATCTTTTTATAATGTTGACCTCAGTGACTTCGCCCAGATTTCCAATATGGCAGCGAGCGTCTTCGCCTCTTCGTCACGGGAGAGTGCAACCTGACACTGACCATGAGCTTCAGGGTGCACGAGGCCGTGGAGTGACAGACGATCAGGGATGTATTCCACTCCCTGCCAGTCACTCAATAAGTGGTCTATTGTCCAGCACTCCATTGTGCCCCTGTCACATGTATGCCAAACAAAGGGCCAGAGAGGTAGACTGCCCTGTGTGCCAGAAGGCTAGCGTTACATTCATGGCCTGGATGCATAGAAATGAAGCGGCACAGTCTGGCGGGTGAATGGACTTTGATATTTGAATGGAAATGTCTCAGTTCACAGCCATTAAAGCTGCAGACTATGTACAAGCTGTGTGATACTTGAAGCTCCCTGCATGGTGTCACACTGTGTTTGAGTGACCTTCATGTGTGTCAGGTCTGAAGTGAAGAGAACATGAAGAACACACAGAACAACTTGTTTCTGAATAAATCACCGGGTTCCCAGATTAGTGATTTAATTACAGGGTTGCTTAGTGTCTTGCTAGCTAACATAGCTGCCCGCATTCACACAAGCATGTACTTGCAGCAGTATACGCTCTTGTTCCACTCTGTGTACTTACAGGTATACACCCTCTTACTCTCACACAGGACTGATGCTAGGCTTTACATACTGTGGCGGTCAACTTTGTTTGCCAGATAACAACCAAAGGTGGCCCGGATTTGTTTTGTGCTATATGGGCCGTATTCACCATTTACCACTTTAGATTCACATCCAGATACACTTTGCCTAGAGCACTGCATGTTTCCCAGAAATGGCCCACGCTTGTTTTAGGATATTTGGGGCACATTTGTTATGTTAGAAGTGAGCCACTTTGGGCTCCCATCCATTTTGTGCTGGCCACAAGCAGGCCAGAAGTGCTGCATCATCACCTGAAGTGGCCCACATCTGTATGCTGTTGGGATCCACAATTAAAGCAACGCAGGCACAAGAAATCTGTTAAAGTCTTAATTTCAATGCCTTGCACCATTCTGAGCACAAAAGGAATGCGTTCTATGGTTGTATGTGGGCGTGTGCAGGGTCATGGCGGGCTTGAGGAATAATAAAGAACTACTCTCAGAGGAGGAGCAGATTCTAAAAGGGTTGGGTTACTCCCTGGAGATGTACCTGTGTTCTTTGTAGAAGGTGTGAACCGTACACCGCCAGGGACAACCAAAGTGTTCCAGGTGTGGCCTGGGATGAGCCCGGAGATACGGAGAGAGGCTGTTTAAACCTGCATATCTCAATGAGTACTTTGTAAGATCATATGACTTGCATTTGAAATATGTTTTAATCTCAGCAATTAAAAAGTTATTTCTGGGGAAAAGGTGCCAAATTAAATATTAGAGATGGATTATCACAAGCTGTATAACCAGTCAATAAAAATAAAAGACGAAAAGCTAATGCCAGACTTCTACTACTGTGTCTGGTTTCAACTTCCTCTGCAGAAGTGTACTCAACCATAGATGCTAAATAAGAGTCATCCACTTAACCAACAAGTAAACACAAACAAGAGATCGGACACTTCACCTGGGATATGAATAAATAACACACTGAACTTAAAACAGGCACTGAGGCTGATAAATAATTCATCATCATCAGCCTTTGGAAGCAGCTCTTAAGGGATTTTCAGAGATTTTAATGGTCATGGACATGTCGACTTTATTGGAGGACAGACCGACAGTGTCTAAAGTGCACGCCACTTAGCATGACACACTCAGCCATTGAGCACCCTGGGCTCTCTTCAGATGATTTCATTTTCTTCACGTGTGTGTGTGTGTGTGTGAATTTTAGGATTTACCCGCTCGGCCAGTGTGAAATATGAGCAGAGAGGAAGAGTGAGCCAGAGCGCTGACATGTTAGCTCTTCACATTCTCAGCGATATCCAATAAGGACTTTGTTTTTGGAAGCGTAAGGCTCCTGCAGTATGCTTTGAAGGCAAATGTCACTTCAGATTTCAAGGCTAGTGTCTACTGAGGTTCTCTCACCACTGTCTCACAGCTGCTCACTGCTCCCCCTTTTGCTCAAATATGGAAGTGTTTACCAGGTTTCAGGGTCAAATGCTCGACAGTGACCCATCAAACACTGTTTTTATACTATTTCTAAACTTACACATTTAGTAGTACACAAGTAATAGATGGTAAATGTTGTAGCCGACATTTTTGTTATATATACTATTACATAAGCCATTGGCTGGGCTAATATCAATAATTATCACAGTATAATTTCATCAATATGAATATTGGCCTGATTACTACCTGACTACCTTTAGCTAACAGTTTCAGCTGTTTATTTTGATCACACTGTGTGTGATCTAGTCTAAATTTGATTATTTTTGTCTTTCTAATAAAAACTGCTTCATCACTTATGATATGATATTGGCGCCACTTGTGATATTCATGTTGAATTCTAAATATTAAAAAGCTTTTCTGTAGCATCTGAATCAGTAATTAACTTTTACAAACTCAGTAAAATTCCATCATTTTCACACCACCTCTCTAACAACCAAATTACACAGGCTTACAGTTGCCCTTGCAAGTGTAATCCTAGAGCGAATGCCTGCTATTGGCTAACCTGTTCTCATACACCTTCCCCATTCTGCAACGAGGGAGAATGAAGCGAGGAGGATTAGAATGCAAAGAGAGTTCCCTAATCTGTGTATTAACAGCAGCCAATTGAATCAGGCAGACCTGGGCCTGCAGATTTTGGGAACTAATCCGGAGAACCTCAGTGTGATCTGTACAAAAAATCCCAGAACTAATTGGAATGGAGGAACATAGACATAGTTTGCTCGGATACATAAACATGTCTCTCGTGTACACACTTGCTTCTGCTCATGCAGGCTCACAGGAGAAACGTGACATCTGAATGTTGTTGTGCAGGAGATCAGTAGTGACATTAAGTTTTTTTTGCCTTTGATAAAACATGAAGAAGACTGGAAAGAGAGGCACAGAGCAGGGGAGGGCATGGTATGTTTCAGCTGAGCTCCTTCTGTATGAAAAATAATTGGCTCTCAGTTCTGGACCAGGAACTTATTATTAGACTGCTGCCTTTGTAGATGAGACTGCAATATCACAGAAACACATAATGTTTTTTATTACTTATTACTCAGTGTCTGAAGTGTTGTTTTACCCTTTCTAGCCACTGTTTGAATCTCTAATTATATTGGGGCTAATATTGAATGCCACTTTCGCCTTTATTGTAATTTTCTTCACTGAAAGGTTCAGTGTGTAGAATTTAGTGGTGAATTTGCATGTTTTAGCTGAATACCCCTCACCTCACCCTCCCCTTCCAAACAAAAACATGGCAGCCTCTGTAGAGAGGACCCCCTCCTGATGTAAATATACAGTTTTTAAATATAACGGGCCCATTCTAGGGTAAAGAGACAACAATTCATACAGTTAGATGAAACAGACTAGTTAAAACATCACTAGGATTATTTATTATTCAATATCTGCCAATA